GGCAAATTCCCCAAATGTGGGAAATAAACACTTTAATCAAAACCAAGAGATGGAGGGAAATAGCTTAATGTGCTGGAACAATTATCTACTGAAGCCAAACCTCAAGCTGCCAGGTCCCAGTGAGAACTCCCAAGCCCGGTGGCTGTGGGGGTGGGTGGAGGTAACTTCCCTTCTCTGGGTGCTCCCTCACTCACTACCTGCAGCATCTCTGGCTGAGGGTCAGGAGGGAAGGGAGGCCATGAGTTCCAAGGGTTCTGGGATAGGGCCCCAGCCTTGTGCAACCACAGGGTTTCTTTGGAACCTGCTCCAAACACCTGGTTCACATGTCAGTAGAGCAGAGCAGAGTCAGCGCAAGGCCCGAAAAGCTCACTTCACGGTGGGTCTGTACCCTCACTTTCTGCTTCAGATTTGTTCAGTCTCCTGTGAGGTCTGAAATCATACTTCATCTGACTGGCTTCTACTTAGTCACTTTATGGAAGAATCCCAGAGTCAGAGATTAGCAGATGCCTGTGTTAGGCAAATTTCCTCCATCCCTGCGAGGGAAGGAAAAAAAAAAAAAAAAAAAGGCTCTGGATCCTGAGCCATAAAGAACACACCAAACCCACTGACACAGCAACTGGAAATGAGAAAGGGGGATCCCTGTAAGAGTCACCTCTTCTATCTTCCATCTTACTGTCAAGGGCTCCGCATAAAAGCAACAAATAGCAATGGGCTCCAAGTTTAAAAGCCACCACATCTACTGCTCCCACTGACCCGAGATAACAGAGCTGGGTGTTATTCTAATATAACCAGGACAGGTTCTGTTGCTGGTTCTGCTGGTTTATTGGTATTTGTGTGGGCTTGTCACCAGGAGGCAAGGAGAGAAGATGAGGCCCCTTCCTGTCTGCAGGGGTTCTGTCCACTCTCTGAGGAAGAGCCAATATCTCTTTCTCATGCAACCCCTCTGCTTCTAGCATAGTGCCTGCCTGGTACATGGTTGTGACTCATGAATTCCTCAGGACACGAAGGGATGGATGGATGGAAGGAAGGATGGAAGATGTCTTATTCACTGCTGGGTTCCCAGAGCTCACGAGCCGCGGTTTGACCTCCACTGCTCTATACCATCATACACGGACTGACGGTGATGTTAGGTGGGGTGCACAGGTCTCCAGTCAGTGTCTGTCACCCTCAATCAGGGGATGAAAGTTATATTGGAGGAAGAATAAGTCACAGAGGGTCAGCTCTTCAGAAGTTCCCCTGACTGTTTGGGACTCAAGTTGCTTTCTCCAAGGTCATCTTTTAAGCACCAGAAAGAGGAGGAAAGCGAGCAGAACACCAGGTGCTCTATTTTTCATGAGTGCACGACTTGTCGATTTTCCTACGATAAAAGTTCATGCTTTTCATGACCGGCCCAGGCTGCCAAAATGCAGCGCGCAGAACACAGGTCGTTTCTGTTGCTGAGCTAGCACGTCCCACAGCATCAGCCAGCTCCACACATCAAAGGGTGATGGGCAAAACCCGACAAAGGGCTCTCAGAGGTTCCCCTCTGGGAACAACAAGTTCCTCATTTTTGCTAAAAACAGAGGTGACACTCTGGCTTTAAATAACTTAAACCAAATAACGTTTAAGAAAACCATGCGTGTTCCCCAATCTCTGTAACCCACCAGGGACCTTTACCGCCTGTGCCGCCTTTACATCCATGGCCTTTAGAGACCCTACAGTCCTTCCCAAACAGGTGTATTCAGTCATTTCTGCCAGTGGGACTGCTGGCTTTTTAATGATGGGGCACAGTGACATGAGTAAACACATCACTATAGTTCCACTCTTCCCTGTCCTGCTGCACTCAGGCTGGCTCGCTCACATAATGCTCTTCTTTCACACACGGACACGACACCTGCCTCATCTCTCTGTACATGAATTAAGGACCACAGACCGGTGCCTACATAGAAAGCAGAAAGCAAATTCCCACACCTTTGTGAATGGCAACAAGAATGGGGTTACTGATCTCTGAGTGGGGACAGGCTTGGAACACTGAAACCTCGTGAGTCTGCCCAGGGCTGCATAGATCTGTAGTCTCCGTGTATATAATATTTGGGAGACCCTGGCATCCCTGGGGACAGGACAGTTCTGGCTGGTGAAGATGAGGCTGAGCATACAGGTTTGATTTACGGCAATGACCACCATTTACTGTCTGGACTCACAAGTCCCAGCCTCCATGCAACAAGGCCCAGGGTCCCATAAAAACGCCCCAGTCTCTCAACGTCAACAGACTCATCCCCTGTCTCGGGCCCCGGGCCTGCTTGTTCTGAGTCTCCTCATGTGGGATGACCGGACCTGACTGGGCCACCAGCTGGCTCTGGCACCAGCTCCCTAGAGTCACCTACCTGCCTGGGCAGCTCCCTTGCTAGAACTGAGCCAGACACAGCTCTTAGCCCCTCGAAGCCTCATCAAGTCGAATGCTCAGCATGCTCACTGGCCAGAGGTGAACAGAGACATGCATTAATGATCACTTTTGCCAGAAACATCCTCCACTCTGGGATTCTGCCCTCAGAGTGCAACATCCTTCTTCCCAATTCTCCACGGGCCAGCTCTGCATCTAGACCTACAGGCATCATCTGCCTCTAGCAGGCCAGACGGAGGGAAGGCACTGTCACTTCATGTTTCCAAAGGCACGGAAGAAGCCTGTAACTGCTACCACCGCCCATGACCTGACAAAAGCAAATGCACTCTGTCTTTCTCCAATTACCTCATTCTCTGGAAGTAATATGAAATTCGAAACCACACAGAGGTTCTAGTGCTGAAGGAAGAGCATTAGCATAAATATTGGCGTGGCGGAACTTAACATTTTTCTTGGGCTCCCAGAACTAAAGTGCTGGCTGGCTTTTTTTTTTTTTTTTTTTTTTCTTCTTCCTTCCCTTCCTGCCTCTTGCATTTTCTGAACATCAGCAAAAAAACTAGTTTTGTCATCAGAAAACTGCTCTGGCCTGGCTTTCAAATCTGGCTGCTGGCACCTATCGGCACATTGATCAGGGATAACGACTTTTGACTTAAAAAATCATGTAGTAAAAGTAAAGTAACCAACTGCCAAAGGGAGATGGAAACTAAGGTCATCTTGTTTGCTCACAGAGCCGGCAGCTGCCCAAGTGCTCATTTTAATAACTGGGATGTGTGGTGCAAAGGGTGTTGCTCCTGTCAGTTCACCGCATTATCATCTGCTTTCTTTCGGGTTCTGTTCTGATCACTCACAATGGAAACAGGCACGAATTCAGGCAAACAAAACGGCTGTAGCAAAAATGCATTCAGCCCCAAAGCGTGGCAAACTGAAGAGTCAATTCATGGTCCCTGGGTCTTACTTTATATAATGACAGCAATTCTTACAGGTCATCCTGGTTTGAGCTCTTTAATCAAATCTAACATCTGTAGGGATCTATATTCTGAGCCAATTGGAGTAAACCAGTGATCCTACCTACCATTTACCCACATACCTTTTAGAGGTATCCCTGAAAAATGAGATGTTTTTTTTCTTTTCTAAATATAACACTCTTTTAAACCTGTGAATTATCCCAAGTCTAAAGACCTACCCTATTCTCCAGCAATACATGACCACCTTCATTACCCAGACACCGACTTGAACTTTTCTACCTGTGGAGTCTTCCATGCTGTGCGTTCAAGGCTCTATTTACTTCCCCTACGCCAGAGCAAGTGTCCCTTGGCATGTATTTGTCACTTCCTCCCTGTGCTCCTGGAGAATCTGCTGTGTACTCTGTTGTGTACATCAGGCTCAGAGTCATGTCATCTCCTAAATGGGAGCTTGAGACCCGAACAAGCAGAGGGCAGATGATTTTCTGACCGACTACGTCATGTAGTGCCTGGCTCCTCAGAGTTGCCTAACCAACATTTGTTCAATGGATAAGGAATTGTTGTGCCCAAGGGATTAAAACACATTCATCATGGTATAGTAGCAATAAAGAAGATAAATGGAGTGTCTTTTTTCTTCAGAGAAAGTACTGATGTGTGTGAAAAATGCAGACATTTCAAGAGCAGTTTGGAAGGAAATGGTTCCAAATACCAGTCTGTGTCCAAACACGGTCTGGGGCTAAGCTATAAAAATGTAACAGAGAGAAACTTCCACCAGCATAATCAGGCTTCACCTCCACCTGCAGGTTGTTTCCCAGAGGCAGGAGGAGAAATGGGAAACAGTACCAGGTAAGCGATGTGCAGCCTGGGCTCTGTCTGGATGTAGCCACAGCACAAACCTGATGCAAGTGCCCAGAGCCTGTGAAAGCGTTCCTCATGAACCTCCTCCTCCCTCGTACTGTGAGGGATGGAAAAGCTGCCCCTGCCGATCCAGCTGAGGAGGGTCCATTCTTTTTTTTTTTTTTTTTTTTTTTTTTTTTAATATATTTTATTGACTTTTTACAGAGAGGAAGAGAGAGGGATAGAGAGCTAGAAACATCGATAAGAGAGAAACATCGATCAGCTGCCTCCTGCACATCCCCTACTGGGGATGTACCTACAACCAAGGTACATGCCCTTGACTGGAATCGAACCTGGGACCTTTCAGTCCCCAGGCTGACGCTCTATCCACTGAGCCAAACCAGTTTCGACCGGAGGTCCATTCTTAACTATACCCTCCACCATCACAGGAAACTCTTTCTTTTGCTCTTCCAGGCTACTTACCTCTTCAGGGAAACCTTCACTCTCCCGCTCTGAACCCTCACTCCACACACAACTGATCTTTCCTCTGTCTTCCCGAACCTCTATTCAGATCTAGAGCAATGTTTCCCCTGACTCAGAGGATGGTATGTACACCTCTCCCACTGGACTGTGGGTCTTTCATGGGCAGAAACACTGTTTTCCATCTTCGTAGGACCAGCTTCCAGCCCGCAGGACTGAGAAAAGAGGTGCTTGGTAAAGGTCACCGGAATTGATCCACATTGCCATTATCTCCTTCAGAAACTGCACCTGCACCTTTAACACCCTGTGGAAATAAGCCAGATGCAACCGTGAAAGCACTTTACCTCTTTCAGAACCAGCACGCATTTGCCTGGTCCCACCGACTGAGGTAGCTCTGCGATCCTCCCCTTGTTTAGGTAAGGGCCTGAGAAACACCTGTGGTTGATGAAGAGCTGAGGACAGCAGTATTTCCCGTTGACAGGACCTATGGGAAGAGCAACCCAGCTGAGACTTGAGGAAGCAACAAAAAGCTTGCTTGGTCAATTTGGTTGGCAAAAATCGTCCAGAGGCACACTGTGTCTTAATATCAGAATGTTTTATAGACACAATACTATCTTAGAAATCCTGATTCTTTTTCTACCACGTAAAATAAATTTTGTTTATTATGCAGTATTCAAAACACACACAAAATGCAAAAACAAAGACAATGATATGGGAGTGGGGGCCGGAAATCACGTTGTACAGCTAAGTTCCCCTGTGTGTCCTTCCCCAGAAACTCCTCCCAGAGGAAGCCACTACCCAGCATTGGTGCTTATCATTCCCAAGTCTATAAGTTCAACCACACACATATATGTATGTGTGTAACAATAAGCAATATATATATTTAAAATATTCCATAAATGGTGTTCAGCAACATTTGGTGGTTCAACCTGACGTTTCTGAGATCCACCCAACTTGGTAAATAATTACCCAGAACATTTATTCATTTTTTCACTTCATTTTTCATCATTCCATTGTAAGAATATATTACAATTGAGTTTTCCCTTCTTTTATTGATGGACACTGTGTTGCTTCCACTTTCTCGATGTTTCCAACAGTGCTTTAATGAATACAACTGTAAAAATCTACTTCTGTGATGGGCCAGAGTCTTCCAAGTACACAACAAGGAGTGGAATTGCTCAGCCGTGGGATCTGTGTATCTTTAGTTTTACTAGATATGGCCAAACTGTTTTCCTAGTGACGACCCAAACGGATCCTCGAGTAAGCACTGTGTAGGAGTGTCTTGTCTCCCACCCAGGCCAACAGAGGCTTCTTCATTTTGCCAGTCTGATAGATGTGAAATGTTCCTTTCAGGGGCTTAGATTTGCATTTCCCTCACTATTTTTTCAACTTAGAAAGTGAACCCGGCAAGAGGTTGGTCTAGCTGTATCTGGGCTGCCCCAGGGAAAAGGAGAATTACTCCACGGTAAGATGTCACTCCCAACTTCTTCATGCCTGAGAACACAGACCGAGACTTCACTTTCAGCCAAGGACTCGGGCTCTGCCACCACTGCTCCAAGCTAAGCTACACTCACCGTGGCATTTCTGTTGAACAACTGTTATAATTAAGATGGGAATTTAACAATCCGGGAAGTTTTGTTCTCATGGGACTTCAACTACAAAACCAACATGTAGCAAGGGGGAGTAAAATAACAATTACAGACTGAATGAGTAGCAGACACAGTACTTTTAAAACCATACTAAATTTGAATTCTATAAAACATGCTAAAATAAAAATTAGTCTACAGCCGAAGCCGTTTTGGCTCAGTGGTAGAGCGTCGGTCTGTGGACTGAAAGGTCCTGGGTTTGATTTCGGTCAAGGGCATGTACATTTGTTGCGGGCACATCCCCGGTGGGGGTTGTGCAGGAGGCAGCTGGTGATGTTTCTCTCTCATCGACGTTTCTAGCTCTCTATCTCTCCCTTGCTCTCTGGGGGGAAAAAAAAATCAATAAAATATATTTTTTAAAAATTAGTCTACAACTGCACTTACATGGAATTTTTTGGTAGGATTACTGTTCCCAGACCTTTAGGAAAAAGCATTTTAGTAAGCTACTCATACAACTGCTCTCTTTATGATGGTTTTTCCACAGCATAAAGCTTTTAAACCTGGAATTCAGAGCAGATTTCACTTTGACTAGAAAATAGAATTCTTAATCAAATATATTATTGAATGTACCAATGCATTTATAATCAGATTTGTGGTCAAAGACTAATTCACATTTGTGTTTCCAAAGATCAATGTAAGATATAGGACTTTTCATTTTAAAAAACATATGATTCACAACCAATTATTCAAACACAGGGGGTTTTAAAGAATGATTCAAAAGCCTGCAGGGATTTAAGTGTTAACCACTACTATAAAAATGCAAGTGGAACTGACATAAAATTTTAAAAAAAGGAATGTCTGATAATTATTACTTTCAACTTAATAATTGGGCTCATAATTCCTAATTAGTACATGGACCCTTTTCCTGCAGACCAAGAGAACTGTCTAGAGCTATTGACAAAAAAGCAGAATAGGCACAAAGAATTTAGCTTAAACACACACACACACACACACACACACACATGTTTTTAAAACGTTATCCGTTAATAAGTAGCAACAGAGTATAAGAGAACAGGCTCAAATCTAAAATATTCGCATATTGACCTAAAATATATATTCATGTCTCCACTCCTAACAACAAATAGGGAAGTGACAGAGAGCCCTAAACGGGTTTATTTACCTGTGGTTTCCAGGTGAGGGAATAGGCAATGGTCATGAGGTATTTTCTCCACGGGCACTGTGGATGTCAGTCTGTTGATAAAGAAAACAAAACTCTCATGGGTCCACACTGTAAAAGAAACCACTGCATTCCAAAGTGTTTTTACAACTTAAAGCGACTATTAGAGAAATCCAAGCTAAGAGCCTCGTAAGATAGGATGTGTGCATCTAGGAGAAACCTCACTAAGAATATATAAAAAGATCATTTAGATGGTTCTCAAAATCTTGTAATAATCCTAAGACACCTGACCCTGCAATGGTCATCACTGATTAATGAGGTTCTTCTAGGTCACCCCTGGGCTGGTCTTTTCTTATAGAATTATAATAATTTACTTAACGGTATTTTAGACAAGAAGAAACATCAATTTACATTGAATTTAATTAAAGTCAGATTTCTCTCTAATGTCTAATTGAAAACCACTTTCTACTGACCTTTGGTTTTGGGTGACTGTGCTTGTGTGGGTCACAGCCACACTGAGAACAAGACCTTCAAAGAAAACCTATCAATGATGGTTCTTAAAATGTGCAGTAGGCTTATTCTAAGACAAACGTCTACATTCTGTTTCAGTAAAAAGTTGCTGAATAAATATAAAGCCTCGTGATCTTAGGGGGAAAAAGAATGGATTTCACAGGGTGTCTAGGCTGGCTGGGTAGAAAACACACTTGAAAAGCTACATAAAGTGGAAGTAAACCAATATGAGAGATATAAGTTGGGTGGTCCATGGCACTGATTCTCAAAGTGGGGGCCTGTACACTGGCAGATCAGTGTCACCTGGGAACTTGTTAGACATGCTGAGTTGGGTGTTTTGGAGATGGGAGCCTCTAGCTGCCTGTGTTTGATAAACAGTCTAGTGAGTGATGCAAAAAAAGGGTGAAACCTGCTGAAACCAATTTGGCTCAGCGGACAGAGCGTCAATCTGCGGACTGAAAGATCCTAGGTTCGATTCGGTCAAGGGCATGTACCTTGGTTGTGGGCACATCCCCCGTAGGGGGTGTGCAGGAGGCAGCTGATCAATGTTTTTCTCTCATTGATGTTTCTAACTCTCTATCCCTCTCTCTTCCTCTCTGTAAAAAAATCAATAAAATATATATTTTTTAAAAAGGGGGTGGAACCTACTGATCCATTGACTGCACACTTAGTTAGGTATTCAAATCTGGATTCAATGATGAAACCATTGTTTTATTACTTATTCTCTAGTTCAGTGTTGGAATCACATTATTAACTAGATACACTGTTTAGAAATGAATGTGCAAGAAATTTTGTTATCCACATTTCAATAACAATGCAGTTATTCAATTTCATTTTATTTAAATTTAAACATGAAAAATATGGTTTTTAATTTCATTTCCATCAATATATTGAGAAAACAGAAAGGCTTGGCAAAGAATATGTATTTTAGTATATTTTAGATATTTTCCAATATGTAAAAATGTTACCCTCCAGTCACAAGTTTCTTAAAAAAAAATACTGCTGGCATCTACACCGGATTCCTAAATACCCCTTTTCCACATAAAATTACAATTGAAATGTGAGATAATCTATACTTATTCAATAACATAGGGCCTACAAATTTTACACACAGAATCTAATTTAACTGTCCTAAAAACCCTGAGGAATAGTAATCTTACAATTGAGATGCAAAAAAATTAAAGCAACTTGCAAAAGTTCACCCAGCTGGGCAGCAACCCTAAAGTCTCTCTTAGCAGGCCCAGCCATGACTAGTGGCGGGGAGCATGCTGGGTGGGGCTTCGTGGCCTGTCGGGCATTAAGAACCACTATCACAGAGAGCCATCACTAACAGTGAGTGAGATTGGGGTGACCTTCCGGTATGCTGAGGTGGAATCAAAGTGAGACGTTACAATTTGGAGTAGAAGTTCCTTTAGAAGCAACCCTGTGCCCTGCACAAAATAGATGCACATTAAACCACAGATATATTTTACTGCCATTTTTACTAGTGTTAGACTAACACTATTAACACCAGCCATGCTTCCTATCCTCTATAAAGATACTCCATAGTTTATCAGTTTATTTTTGAAAACTAAACAAACAAACAAAAAACAACTTACTGTTTTTCTGGCTGCACAACTGCAATCTTTCTCTTCTGTTGTGCTGTAAAACAGGCCAATAAAAAAAAAATCAGCTTGGTTAGCTAGTTGGGTAAAAGCACTTTAAAAAAATGGCTTAGTATAGAGCTGTTAGTTTTAAAGTAACAACTTAAATACTGTGAAGTTATTTCATTCATGCCACAATTTTATCTTAATTGCTTCAAGCATAAAATAGACTTTGACTTATCAGAAATGAGGTCTAAATAGAATTTACTACATTTAATCTTATCACTACACACTGTCTACTTCATTTTAAAATGTGATTTAATAAGAAAGAAAAATAGCACACCTATCATACCTCACATGAACACACCTGGTAAGATGAATTGTTGCAAGTATGATTATCCAGATGAGTTTTCCCCCCAAAGAAAGTGTGATAAGTCAAATAATATTACCATAATAGCTACTCCAAAATTAGGATTAGAGACATGTTCTTAAACTAAAGCATTTTATTATTGAAAGGAGGATTGCTATCTACCAAATATGTCTATGAAACAGTAACATAAAGCAGTCAATAATTTTTCTGAAAAGAAAATTTTCATTTCATTTTTATAATTGATTAAAACCACCTTAATAAAGAAAGACCAGAGCTTCTGGCATTTATTTTGGTACAAATATTCCTGAAATTTCCAACATAAGCATAAATTGATCCCAATAAAACTTCTAAAGCTGTTGAGAGTTGGTGGGTTTAGACATAGATGGATAAGTAAAAAACAATGACTTGAGATTGAAATAATTATCCTGGGCTCAAAGTTTCAGACATATTTTAAAGTGAAGGGAAGATATTACTCTCATTAGGTCAGTCTCACTGAACTGTATGGTATCTGCGAGAGAAGAATCCTTTAAAATCCACTTTGCCTATAATCAGAGCTACCTCCTTTATTTCACTCAGTGATGAATATCAAATAGGAGGACTCTAAGTTCCCTTCAAAATCTGTTGACATCAGGAAACATAAGGAAATAAATGGCTAACTGTGAGATGGAACTTTTTTTATATCAATGCTCTGAGATTCTACATAAATGTACTAGTGTACATGTAATATATATATACTCAAGTATATTGCCAGAAAGGAGTAAAGCTAGTATATAAATTATATTTAACATATAATAAATATAATCTGGGTTATAAAAATTAAAATCCCTTATTTTTAAGGAACCAAAATTTTAAATAATATTTTTTATAAACCTATGATAGAATACTTAATGCCAAGATTTATTAGGTTTGAAGACTTTCAAAAGGTTATCTTTTCAAGATAATGACATATTATTATAAAAATGTACCTTAACACACACTGCTATACACCCAGGTGTCCCCAAAGAAAGTATACACACTTCAGCAGGTGATAGCTCAATTTTCAAAATGAAATGTATTTTAATAAACTCTATCTTTATAATTATTTAAAATGTGTGTATACATTTTTTGGGACACCCTATGTTTAAGTGCGTGTATTGTGGGATTGATTAACCACTAATGTTGTTTTAAGTTGGTACTGGATGTGATGTAATGCTCTTTTCAAAATACAGTTGACATTTCTCTGGTCAATTAGTGCTGATAGTAGTTTAGTGTTTATATCTATGTTGCTAAATTATTGGGCCATTTATGACTCCTTTGGGGTAAACCTCATGAGAAAAAGTAGTCTTTTCTCAGATATGATAATATAAAAATATAGTAGTTAGTCTAATTTTTTAATAAAAATGAGTTGTCTACAAAACAGAGAGAAGATTCCAGATATTTATTTTTGCCTCTCTGTGACCTTCAGTTGTCTCGTCATTGTGACTTTGTCAACCTGTGAAATGTTCATCTCATTAACTTAATGAATGAGACTTAAAAAGCCAGTGTTCTGTAGGAAATTTAAAACCTTTTCTAGCAGAAACCGGTTTGGCTCAGTGGATAGAGCGTCGGTCTGTGGACTGAAGGGTCCCAGGTTCGATTCCGGTTGCGGGCACATCCCACATAGGGAGAATGCAGGAGGCAGCTGGTCCATTTTCTTCTCTCATCAATGTTTCTAGCTCTCTATCCTTCTCCCTTCCTCTCTGTAAAAAATCAATAAAATATATTTAAAAAAAAAACACACACACAACCTTTTCTATGTTTACAACTTGGCTATACTATCTTAACAAAATTGTCTATTTATTCATACCAACCCTGGAGGTTATCCATCTGGGCTTCAAACTAGGCAATACTTACGAACTATTTTGTGAGGTGTTGTCAAAGGGTAAGAATTCGCTTCACACCAGCCCACTGGGAAGATGTCCATGGATTCAACATCAACAATAAACTCTGGAGCAGGAGTCTGCAGGCCTGCATTGAAAAGTTAAGACAATAGGTACAAACAGGTTATACCAAAAAAGACACCTAGGAAGAAGGAAAATACTGTGCATCCCTGAAACTGAGAAAAACATACTCCTGGATATTAAACACAAAACTGGCAATAGCCTTATGATAGGCACAAATGCCTGAAATATAAAACAGCAAGAGTACAAGGGGTTCAAATAGAGTGGGGATTCTGGAAAAGAGAGATCTTGTGACTGAAAATGGGAGGAGGAAGTAACCCAGAAACAATGGCATTGCCAGAAAAGCGAGCAGAGGGAAAGAGTCTCGTCCTTCCTTTCCAAGAAATTGAAGAAGCATGGCTGGCCACAGGATATACATTTAAGCCACCAAGACATTCTTCACCCAGCACCAAGCAAAGATCAGCCTTTTGCTAATGAAAGTTAAACATGACTTTCTCTACAACACCAATTAAGAGCAGTGAAAACAGATGACACAATTTCTCTAGGGAACGTGTTCCTTTATAAGTTTGATTGCAATTGATTATTTTGAACTCAGTTTGTGGCTTGCAGGCTTGGGCCATGTCACACCAGAGTCATTGTCTTTTTAGTGGGTATCTGCCTACTTCCTGTTTCATGATCATAATAATGACCTGTGATAAATCCACATCTTAGCTGAGCCTCTGAAAAGGAGGAGAGGTTGCAATGAGGAGGGTTGTTGAGTTATTTTTCTATTACACAAGAGATAAAGAGGTTCTTAGTCTTCAAACTCACAAAAATAGTGTGTGTTTCCCAGTTACTCAACAATTTTGCTCACAAATTGAATTCAACTACTAGATATGTTTCTATTTCCATATTTATATTTAGCTACAAATAACTTTTCAAGGTCAAAGCAGCATTAACTGAACTTTATAGCTTATTCCTTCATGAATTATGACTTTTGTCTTCCAATGTTCTGCTAGTTCAAACATCACATCATATTAATGCTTTAATATATACACTCTATAACAATGTATACATTAATACATTTCTAAGGCTGTCTTCACTGAACTTTAAAATTCTTTGATCATGCTTTTCATTCAATTAAGCAAATATTTATGAGCTGCAATGTGTCAGCTACCCTATCCTTAAGAAAGTTATAGTCCTGCCTTCCTCCCACCCCCAAATTTAGCCCATTAAGGCAAAAACGAATGAAAAAGTGGGTTCTCTGTCATCCAGGAAAGATTTCCAATCCTGTTCTGAATGAAGGTGCTAATTCTTTATTTCTATTTATCAACCTTATGAATCTGGATACATCTTGCTGGACTCTGAAGAGTTTTTTAGACCATAACCTCTTATAATCCATTAAAAATGTATACAATGCTCTTTTATTGATTATTCTAGGATTTCCAAAACCACGTATGCAAAACTAGATGCTCCACTAAGGACTGCTATAATATATTTATCATTTCACAGAAAAAACTCTTATAAATGACACAAGACCATGGCTTAATCTCTGACTTTATTTCTGCTGCATCAAGTCAATATGGACTATACTTATTTGTTCTTATCCAGATCCTTCATTTAAAAAACCATCAGGAAGCCTAATCCTCCATCTATGAAAAAGAAATTAAATAACTATTACACATCCATAAGATGGAATATCCTGCTGCTATGAAAAACGTATAAGAAACCTCTTTATATACTTATATGTAAAAACATGTATGTATAGTTGAATACACAATGATCAGCAGGGTGCAGAATACTCTGTATATATATTAGGCTACCATCTGTTTTAAAAGAAAAATAACATTTTTATATGTGCATGAAATAAATCTAGACGGGAAAGCAAAATAAGTTTGTAAGAATCACTTTGGAACCTTCAAATAATATTGCAATTGGCTGTATCCAGAGACTGTGTCCTCAGATCAGCGGCTACCCTCCACTTCCGTAAAATCCTACTTGCCCTTCTAATTGCAGGGTTTAATCCAGCAGACTCAGGGCCCTGCCATTGAGTGTGACCTGTTCTACTCAGAACATCAGGATGAAAGAAAGAGATGGTTTGTGGTGACGCTGAAATCTTGGAAACACAGCCCTGTCACATTACATAATGGCTTCATCCCCGGCAAACTATGGAAGAGAACAAACATGGGCGAGCACAGGAGTAGCAGATGCTACTGGGGGACTGGAGACAAGATGGATGTGAGAGAAGAGACTAAGAGCTAACTGTGAGAAAGAGGGTTTATTTTCATTGACTCTAGTATTAGAACTGGGACGGCCTCTCCATCTCAGGTAAAAGCTGGAATGGGAAGAAAGGCAAAGGTATTTAAGGAAACAAGTTAACCTTGCTCAGTGGCCTTGTTAATAGTAACAGGTTGCACCAAATTGTGATGGGCTCAGCATGTGATTGAGAGATAAACCACTAGAAGGATGAAGAGCTGGTTGATTATGGTGAGCAAGCAAGAACTGGGTGCTGGAAACCCCAGGGGCCATCCGTCATGCTTCTTCCATTGTCAGATGCCCATCCAGGAATAGGATTTTAGAGTATCCCTTTGTCAGCTACGGAACTAAATTCCCAAGGAATAAAGAGAGGAGCAAAACTGTGACTGAAAAGATCCAGATATGACAGAATGCAGATAACCTAAAGGAAAACTGCAGAAATGGAATTCAATATGTGTGTGTGGCAAGAGAGACATACACACTCACAGGAGTGCAAATATTTACAGCTCTTTTCCATATTTAATCTACACCACAACCCTAAAAGATAGTTTTCATCCCCATTTTATAGATCAGTAAACCGAGGTACAGAAAAAGATCAGACAGCCAGCACATAGCACACCCAGGTTTCCAATCCAAGTAGTAGTCTAGTTCCAGACCTCAGATAGAATATAAAAGTAGGCAGCTTTCTCCCCCTCCCCCTCCATCTCCCTATCCCTGCCCCCTAAATCCCCCACCCCTTCCTTGCTTATTGTTTCTGGTCTTATTCCTCTTAGGGACCTATATCGTTTCTGCAGAATTCCATTATGAGGCAGCCATTGCCACCTAAGGGGAACAGCCAGATCTACCCTCTGTCTGCAGGCAGATGATGTCGGGCTCAGACCTTTTGAACCACCATGTGGTCAGTCAGAAGTCACATTCTTCACAACGGCAGCTTGAAAGCCCAAACTTCGCTTTGGTTCCTGCTGCAAAGTCTCCTGGAGCCGCCATCCAAAGGCCTTCCTCCCAGATTCCCATTTTGCTGAGACAGCCAGAGACAGTTCTGTCGCTGGCCACCAAGAACCTGACTAACTGCACGACAGTTTGGGGAACAAAGCAGATTTGGAGTGATGAAGGCCTCCTCCCAGGGACAGCTCCCACTGCGGGACCACCCTCTCTGAGGGCAGGACATTCTGCTGCATTCGCTGATCTGCCAAAGCAGCCCCCCCCACCAACAGTGCCTTCTTCAGGCTGCACCTCTTTAACGGTTTGAACCCACCCTGACTAGAAATGTAATTCTTTTTGCATTTCCCTGTTTCATTTTTGCAAGCTAGCGAAATGCTTATTAACCACCTGACTTTTTCACAAATCACGGGGCAGTTATCTGCCCCTGGTATCCTAAAGAGAAGAGGTTGGCTCACAGACTTTCTCTGAAACCTGCTGCTCTCTGTTCATTTGACCCCCATTAGGGTCCCTTATAAACTCCAGTGTGCATGTGAATCACCTGGGGAGGGGACTTTAAAAGACAAACCGCCAGGAATCTACATTTTAGTAGGACTCCTGTTGATTGGTGATTATAATATGGAAGGTAGTTTCCTGGTACTGAATCAAGCAAATGAAAAAAACTGACCAAGACGTTTTTTAGATTTTAACTTACAAGTATAAAGTACCTCTCATCATTCAAAATTTGGTTCAAAAAACAACAATTCTTAAGGGGGTGTTGTATCCTAAATCACTTTCTCATTTAGAGACCACAGATTTTATTTGTTCCTCATGTCTAATCAGCAAACACTGAGTGAGCCCATGAACTCGAGTATGAACACCATGCTCCGCGATAGGCCAGTGGTCGGCAAGCCGCGGCTTGAAAGCCACATGCGGCTCTTTGGCCCCTTGAGTAAGGCTCTTCCACAAAATACCACCCGCAGATACACACATACAGTGCGACTGAAACTTCGTGGCCCATGTGCTTAAGTTGGTTTTCGGCTTTGGGAGAGTCTATTTTGAAGAAGTGCCGACCACTGCGACAGGCTATAGGCGAGGACGGGAGTACAGCCGTGTGCAATGTCTCGCAGCACCAACCACAGTATCAGGATGCTAACAGACACCTGAGTGGTCTATACGGATGGCGCACAGGCTCTATGCAGAGAGGTAAGGCTTCAGGGAAGAACACTACCTTTCTTTTCGCTCCTCACCACCTCCACTTACTGGGCTCTGACTATTACGGGCCAAACATAACTCTGAGCGCTTTATAGACACTAATTCTCCCAGCTAATCTCCACAGCATCCTCCAAAGTAGAACCCATTATTATGTACATTTCATAGCGCTGTACAAATAAGAACAGGGATTTTAAACTAAAAAAGTCCTCATAATCACACAGCTAGGAAGCAGGTGTGTTGCTGAAAGCCAGAATTTGAGTCTTGGCTCCACGAGAAATACAGACTCCACATGAGTTAGAAGAAAGGCATTGACTGCATTTTACAAAGCCAGCTCTTAAGAGTCCATGAAGATGATAGAGAAAGCAGTTAGGGGACTACTGAAATCCTAAGAGGAAGGGATGAAGACCTAACCTGGGCATGGCAGCGAGAAGAGAGAGCTGCCCAGGGACACTGAGCTACCCAAGTGACTACCTGGTCACAGGAGCTGTGGGGTGTAAACAATGAGAGTTATTCTAGAATTCCTAAATTGGATGACTGTGGTGCCACCAGGTCAGATCAAAAACTCCAACAGAAGAGCAAACACAGGGGCGACATAGTAACGTCTGTACCAAGCTGATGTGCACACAGAGGTGCTTTGCAGGTGGGCAAAAATGGGGTTATGCCTGTGAGTGCTGAGAGTGGTGGGCATATGGGTTAGTT